AAAAGTCGTTGCTTGCCTATAGTTGACAAGGATTTCGAAGAATATTTGGTAACGTCCGGTATGCATTTTGGGTTGATAAAACTGACAATTTAATTAATCGGTACGTAGCAGTGCTGCAATAATTATTTTAATTATTTATCACGTTTGGCATTAAAAAATTTTAGCAGTTACACTGCATAATGCTGGACTTTTTCTTCGATGGTTTTATGATCAAAGAAGGTAAATTGTTGAATTAATATTTTTACTACCTTGTAAATTATACATTATTTTTATTATAGTTTAATAGGAATCGTTTAAATATTACAACACTTGAAGATATGGCAAAGGTACATTCATATTATATTTCAAATGCTAATACCGAACTTACGCAAACAACACTAGGTCTAGAATTGGATGAATTGCGAAAAAAAGTATTAGATGCAACAGTATCTATGGATTAAAAGATAATGACGAAAATAATATAACTGCATTAGATGTTAAAAGAATAATATTTCTATTGAAAGCGAATCATTAATTATTGGGATCAATTTTATACTGCCTTTTATTTCACAATTAATGATTGTTATGTATAAAGCATATATAATAACTAACGCTATTGCCACAAAATTAATAAAAAATTACAATGATTGACTTTTGTTTCGGATTGCGTCATACATTATGACTTGCGGCTAGAGATGTTACATATTATTACTTAATAATACTTAATATTATCTGCAATAGGTATTATTACGTATTAAGTAATTTTACAATAATTTTATTATTAGTAACACCTTTTCGTTCAATCTCAATTTTGATCACCTGTCTCACACGTAATAGATAATTGAATGTAATAATTATTTAATATTACTTAATATTAAGTAAGGGATAAGTCATAGGTCATTATTAATTACAAAATTACTTTGCCCATCTCTACTTGCGGCATTATTTCTACCTAAAAAGTAATGCTTAAATACCTTTGGCACAGCCGCATCTAGGTTTTGCGGCATGTATAGAGCAAATCGCCTTTATTTATAGCTTTTTACATTTATTTTTTAATCAAATCGCGAAAAGATTTTTTTTATATATATTTAAATCAAATTTAAATAAGTATAAAATTTTAATTATACAATAACCTAAACTATTAAGCAAAATTAAAACTATATAGTGTATATTACTACGTAGGTATAACATATCATAATCAAAATTATGTCGGATCGGTCACTAATTTATAATGATAAATTTTACAAAATGTAGATCGACTTTGCATTTTATCGTATAAAATTATATAAAAATATATATTTACATTTATCTTCATTTGCGCAAATTTTGATTTTTAATATAAAAATTTTTCTATAATTTTGTTCCTATGATATTATTATAATAAATAACAAAAGATCGAGTTATAAATAATAGTTTAATAAGTCTGTAGATCTAATTTTATATTATTAAATTATATTTATTTATAGCGTTCATAAATCAAAATTTGTGTACCATCAAAAAATCCGCATTTAATGGATTTGCGAATTTGTAGATAGTATATATTATAAAAATGCATCGTATATAGTCTAACCCCGATATAATCACCGTCTTGGTAATCAAAACTCAATGTGACTAAAGTGATAATGACTATAGGAGGTTAATAATAACAAGAATCTTATAATTTGTACGTGACTATATCGAGACTATCCTAATAGGAATTACAGAATTATAAGACAAACGTATATATAAAGGGAAATAATAATAGAAATATCATTCACGATGCCATTTTGCAACCTTTAAAAATCTCCAAATCCAGCAAAAAATATTCTCACCTTCATGTACAAGGCTAGTGTTATTTAACATCATAACTTGCCAAAAAATTGTACCCATTACCATTTTTAACACCTAAATTCCAAGTTCCTTTATAATTCGTCATTACATCACAAGCCATGGTAATACATCCATCAGAATCATTCCTATCCATTAATGGTTCAAGAAAAGTTTGCTTTTCCATTCCAGGCCCAAGTAACACAAATTTTGGAATTTTTTTATTAGAGTCCACATTGAATACTATTATTTCAAAATGAGTTTTTTTTGCGTAACCGAGTGTTTGATAGATAGGTTTAACTATTGTACATGGATATAAGAAGCCGTATTGATATACGAATGGTTTATATTTTGCGCCAGTTCCAGAGTTTTTTATTAGTATACTGCAGATGCCCGAACCCTGTTATTTAATATATCAGTAATTTAATAAGATTAATTCACGAAGAATAAGGAATAATATGGAAAATATACGGTAACATATAGATACAAACCCGTTCTACGCCTTCTTTAAAGTAAAATAATTGAAGTTTTCCTTCTCCACGAGTAGGACAACCAATTCTTAACCGATGTAAAATTCCGCCATTAGGACCCGGAATAGCCAATCTTTGTGAAAAAGCATCTATTTTTTGTCCTTTCCATTCCAAAGAGGCAGTTACTTTATTTACTCTACCATCGTCAATTGATTGCTCTAAATCTAAGATTATGTTATCGTCAATCACATTTATTTCGGAACCATAATATCTTAAAAATCTAAGACCTTCATGGAAGAAATCGCCTTTATAATGAGGCTGATTATTAAATTCTTTTCTTGTGATAGTAGGTTGCAAGTATTGTTGACTTGATTTTTCAGGAAAATGGGAATAAATAAATTTTGTTGGAGAAGCAAGGAAGTAAAAAGGTTGGAATTTTTTATTGAATTGTTTATTATTTACATGTCCAGCACCCCAAGTAGAATCTATTAAGAGATATTCTCCTTTGTATAAAACACCATTCCATGCATGAGCGTAAGCACGATCATTTGGATCAATAGTATCGCCGACTTGAAAACCAGCACCTAAAAGTATATAAGTTAATATTGCAATTGTGAGATTGAAAATTTTATATTTTATATAAAGGACAGTTACCTTTTGCATTTCCCGAAATTTGCCATACATGCAAACCAGCTTCATTTGCTAATTCATAAAACAATTTAGCGTATCCAGCGCATACAGCGGTTTTGGTTTTTAAGACATCTTTTGCTGACTTATCCGATAATTTTCCTAAATTGGTTTAAACGAAATTTAGATGTAATGCAATACATTAAAGATATAATAAAGATGCTAATAAATTATTGATTAAAAGGTTACCCGAAAAAAAAGATTTACAATCATATGAGATATTATCAGTGATCCATACGAAAATGGCACGTAATTTATATATGTCATCGTCCCATACTGAAGTCAAATAATTCGCTAACCTTGCTTCAGATTTTATTTCAGATTCAGGAGTTTCACGAGCATATTCATCAACAGTTGAAAAATCGTAGTCTATAAAAAAGAAAACAAGAAATATTGAAATGAAAATACAGGTCATTAAACCCATCATCAACCCAAAATGCATACCGGACGTTACCAAATATTCTTCGAAATCCTTGTCAACTATAGGCAAGCAACGACTTTT